CCATTTTATTTATGAGTGTTGTATTTTTTCAAAAGTTTTTTCTGTATCAATATATGCAGTTATATATATATAGATAGATAGATATGTGATCAACATATATTGATATGTTCATGTGATTTTTCTTCCTTAGCCTGTTAATATATTGGTTGATAGTTTGAATAGTGTACCAGGTTTGCATACCTGAAATTAACCTCTCTTGGTCATGATGTATAATTCTTTGTATATATTGCTAAATTTATAAAATTTAAAATGTATTGGAAATTATAAAATTTCTAAAATTTTAACATTTTGGAAATAATTTCTATGTTTAGCCAGATACAGTGGTATGTGCCTGTAATCCCAGATATTTGGGAGGCTGAGGCAGGAATACTGTTTGAGCCTAAGAGTTCAAGGCCAGCCTGGTCAACATAGTAAGACCCTTTCTCAAATTAAGTAAATAAATTATTGTTTTAAATTTTTAAAAAATAATGTTTATATTTATATTCGTAAGGGCTATTGGAGTGTAGTTTTATTTTTTTGTACTGTCTTCATATGATTGCAATATCAGGATAATACTAGTTTTATAAAGTGAATTGGGAATTATCCTATGTGTACAATTTTGAATTGCACTAACATTGTACTTTGAATTTTTTTCTATGCAATTAAATAACACTTGAAAATCTGATTTTTAATGTCTGAGTAATAAGTTAGTTGTAGGAACTTACTCTTCTTTATCTAACTTTTTCCTGTTTTTTATTATTTAGAACTTAAAATTTTTTTATTGCTAATGATTCTGCGGTGAGCATCTTCCTATATATCGTATGAACTTGTCCTATTTATTCTTAGAATTTGTAATAGATATAGTTTATAGACTTCTTTTCATATTGATTAAAACATAGCATTTAATATTTAGATTAGATTAAATTTCATATTTAGATTAGGGTTAATATGTAATCATGTATTTGTTATTATCATAAATGAGACCCTTTTATGGATCTACAAGACCAAAACTGATTTCATACTTAATTGCCTTTTTTAATGTGTTGTCATTTGCACTGATGGTGCAAAAGCAATGGTGAGTAAAACTGCTACTGCCTTAGAATCAAGGCAGTGGCACCAAACTGTCCTAGTAGTTATTGTATTTTGACCATCATGCATCTGCAGGAAAAAAAAAAAAAAAAGCCATACTTAGTTAAGAATATCTTAAATGCAGTAAAAATAATTTTATTACTTTTTGATCCTCAAATATAGGTCTTTTTAATACTCTGTGTGAAGTAAATGAAGTACACATAATGCTCCATATAATGGTTTTAAGGAAGAGCATTTGTGAGTAATCCTGTTCACAATTGTTTGCGCTGTCACCTCAATTAGATGCTTTTTCTTTTATGGAATACCATTTTTACTTGAAAGAATGACTGACAGACAAATTGTGCTTATTCAGACTTGTGTATTTGGCAGGCATTGTCTTTCAAATTAAGTAAGCCTATCATATCAAAGAAAACAACTGACAACAGCTATTGCCAAAGATAAAATCCAAGTGAAGATAAACTACAAAGGAAAACTAAACTTAGAACCTTGGAAAACTATATTCACCACTTTCAGTTTGACAACTTCCGAATACATTGTATAAGGGAATAGAAAGACTCTTCGATGAAATTGGTGATGATATTAACAAATTTTTAATTGATTTTTGATGTATAATGAAATGAATCAGCATTCGGAAAATCTGCATAACTCAGTGAGCTGGTATTTGCCAAATGATTAATGTGTGATGTTGAAAATAATGTCTGAGTCATATCATAGTTTCATTCAAAGTACATACAAGATAGACCAGTGGATTTTAATGTAACAGGGTAAAAAAAAAAGTTTATTGATAAAGGTTTTAGATTATATATTGCAACAAACTTTTAAGAAACTATCACTTATCAAGTAAAGGAGAATATACACAGTTATTGTAAAAAGGTTATTAAAATATTCCACCATTTTCCAACTAAATATACTCCAACCAAAACAACATATGGCAACAGATTGAAAGCTGAAGTAGATGTGAGAGTCCAGCTGCCTTTTATTAAGTGAGACATTAAAGAGATTTTTTAAAAATGTAAAACAATATCTGTCTTTTCGCTAATTAAAAAAAATACTATAATCTCTTCCTGGCCTTTTGGCTTAGATCAAATGAAAAAAAAAAACTATCATATTTTTCCTCACAAAATGTTATTTATGTTAACATTTAAAGGATTTTTGTTATATTTAAATTAAATATTTTAAAAGTTTTTTAAAATTCATATTGTAGTAAATATGGATAGAGATAACCTATATAAAGGTTAAGAAACTACCACTTGTCAGCTGGGCATGGTGGCTCATGCCTTGTAATCCCAGCACTTTGGGAGGCCGAGGCGGGCGGATCATGAGGTCAGGAGATCCAGACCATCCTGGCTAACACAGTGAAACCCCGTCTCTACTAAAAATACAAAAAATTGGCCAGGCGTGGCGGCGGGTGCCTGTAGTCCCAGCTACTCGGGGGGCTGAGGCAGGAGAATGGCATGAACCCGGGAGGTGGAGCTTGCAGTGAGCGGAGATTGCGCCACTGCACTCCAGTCTGGGTGACAGAGCAAGACTCCGTCTCAAAAAAAAAGAAAAAAGAAACTACCACTTGTCAAGTAAAGGAGAATAAACACACTTTAACTTATGTTATAGTAAATATTGATAGAGGTAACCTATATAAAGGTCTTCAGTACTACCTAAAAGCTAAAGGGTCTATATGACCAAAACGTTTGGAACTTCTGGCCTACAGGATACAATCCAAACCTCTGTATAGTCCTATCATGGCTTCTGCCACCTCTCCTCCCTTCTCTTCTGTCTCATTTCCTTTCCACTCTATTATTCAGTAAGATGAAGATACTTTTATTCCAGAAGAACTATGGTGTTTACATCTCCGGACCTTTGCTTAATGCTCCTTTTGCCTTGAATATGTATTCTTCTCCAAGTCTTTATATAAAGTACTGTCTCCAAATGCCTCTTGGCATCATTTCAGTTCTAACCTCTCTGTACCTCTTATTCTATCTTTATAATTCTATCTATTGGTATGCAATCCCATGTCACTGATTTGGTGCAGGGAGATTATTTTACTCATTCAGTCACTGGATATGCTGCATCCTCAAGATCTGATCAGTTTCCTTCTCTATAAATGCTATATAGTATGTTTTGAGTTTCTATGTCCAAAATAATTCAGTGTCTTTCCCCTTATTAATTTGGTTTCATCATTACTTGTTTTCTTCTTAAAGGTGCTGTCATTCTTCTATTCACTTGGGCTCAAAATGTTGAAATCATCTTTTACCCTTCTTTCATCTTCATACTTTGTATCCAGTTTGATCCTATTGCTTCTTGTTTGAAAATATCTTATATTCATTACCTCCTTCTTTCTCTACTGCTGCCATCCACGCTTTGAAGTTCAAAATAAGAGAGAAAATATTTAAATATATCTTGGCCTATTTTTTTCCAACCAGCATTCTGAATGATTTCAAAAGCTTTTGCTATTCTTTCCACTACTTATTCTTTTCTTCAGACCAGCTTGCTCATCACTATTGCATTAGTGACCTTCCTAAAATACTACTTTTATTTTGTATTTTCTCATTCAACATTTTTAGTAACTCTTCATTTCTTTTGGCAGTGTTTCTTTTTGAAGGAAAGCTTTTCTCGTGGACTCTCAGTGTTGACATAAATTATTTTAACTTTAAGTAATACAACTTAAATATGTCCAAATTAAAACTAAATACAAATTTTTGCACATAAAACTACATAGCTAAAATAATTTGCAAATTCATAGCAAGCAAAACTATACAACAAAATTTAACTTGATAGCATTAATGTGACAGAGGATGTTATTTGCCATAAAAACAAGCTTAACGTGAATGTAGTACAGACTCTGAGTTAGGCATGATCCTGTTCTACTGCGATGACTCACTTAATCCACCACTTTTCTGTCTTCAAGCTTCTGAGAAACCTTTGTTTCTATAGCATGCTATGATATCATTTGACCTTCATTTGGTACAGCTGTATCATTTGAGAAATAGATCCTTCTCTATCTTTTTCTCACCCCTCAGCCTGCTACAATTAAAATAGCACTACATGGCTATGGTAGGATAGTAAATAGAAATGCACATTCAGACACTAACAGTACATGGTGATTTAGGGTCACTCAGTAAGATCCAGATGATCCAGAATATGGGGTGTGTGTGTGTGCGCGCGCGCCTTTGTGCACGTATGTATAAGAGACAGAGTTTTAGTTGACTTGAAAAAAAGAAACTTAGACTTTTATAGGAAACAAATGGAATCTCAAAGTCAGCCCCATTCCCCCAGAGACTATAGACTCCAATATAAAAATCACTCATCTGTAGGATAAAGACTATATTCCTCATGTTGGTATTTAAGGCCTTTATCGATTTGAATTGAATCTCTTTTCCTTTTTAATTTGTTTTTCTTTTCTCTCTTCTTACTGTCGTTTAAATATGCTCACACTTTCCCAGATGTGTGCCTTCTCTCCTGTCCCTGTATAAGCTCATCCGTCCACAGCCTTTAAGGACCATTCATGCTTTTCATTTCCCCTTGAAGCTTCTTCCTATTTCTTCAGTTACAATTTGATTTTACTCCTTCTTTGAACTCTTGTTTGAATTCCTTCTGTATCTTGTACTTTGGCATTTCATTTCTTTGTATTAAATAATGCTGTTTATAATTGTTTGATTTTTATGTTCTCTACATCACTAGACTTAAGGGGCTTTGAAGGCAAAATATTATCTTAAAAGTTTTTTGCATAATCCTCAGAACCATTGTTGATATTCTTGAAGCATTTACTAAGGAAATCAAATGATTAAATTTAATGCTCAGTATTTGGGATTTAATTTAGTTTCTCTTACAAAGTGTGTGTTTTTTTTTAATATAGAGTATAAAGAAAAAGTATTTTTCTAAGAAACTAAAATGTCTTAAAATTTTGTATTTTTACACTCATTGTCCTTCATTTTCAGGACTGTTGGGAAAGATCCTGATGGCTATCCGAGATGCAGGTTTTGAAATTTCAGCTATGCAGATGGTAGGTACTTTACAATGAACCATAATATTCATGAGGATTTTTTTCAAAAATACTCATAAAGTGCTTTACTTTGAATGTTCCCTGTGTATTCGTGAACCACATTAAAAATAAAAGATATACTTACTGAACTCAGTAACCTTCCTATAGTCAAGAAATGGTTTTTGAAATGATTTTTCCCATATACTATTTTACTGAGAGAAGTAATATTCAATGATACACCTAATTTAAGCTTATAAGGTAAGTTTATACAGTTCTGGAAACTTTAGTTGCAAAATAAATAGGGACCAAAAACTGTATTTTGTTCTTATAAACAAAATGTAGAATCAAAGTGAGAAACTGTGATGAGTTTTCTGTCTTCTCTATTCTTAACTAAACAGATAATGAAGGAAGAGAATCAGTTTTCAGATTTTTTTTCCCTAACCAGTGCCTTTTGCTGGTTTTTGAACTTTCTCTCAAGACCTTCTTTGGAGTTAGTGTATTCCAGCACCTCTATTGGCACTTGTACCACTGGACCTTCAGAGCCTACGCTTATTCAAAATTGTGCTGCTCATACATTCCTAAGAAACCTTTCAGTGAGAAACAACAGCCACTTTGGTAGAGGTCATACCTTTGTGCTGTACTCATTGGTACATTTGACTAGAAATTGGGCAACAGATTATTATATGAATCAGATAAACAATTTGGTTTTTACAGTGTTTGAAACCCAGCAAGTTTATGCTTTTTTGATAGTGAAATACCAAAATAGCCATTTTGAAGCTGAGAATTTTCTTACCAGTATCATTTGTATTTTCTTTTTCTGAAAAGAAACAGCTTTCTTTCTTTTTTTTTTTTTTATTATTATTATACTTTAAGTTCTAGGGTACATGTGGATAACGTGCAGGTTTGTTACATATGTATACTTGTGCCATGTTGGTGTGCTGCACCAACAGCTTTCTACAAAGTCTTAAGATTACCCAAAATCAAGGACCAGGACACAAACTGAAGTTCTATTTTGTGCCAATAAGCCAAAAAAAAAGGAAATAGTTTACAAAGTCATTGAGCAAAACTTGAAGACTAATGAGAAAATTGATATTTCAAGAATCTTACCTAGAATTATAAAGTAATTGTCAGCCAAAACTTTCTAAAAGTATTAGCTTGGTGATACATTAACAAGATTGTAGGATGACATATGAGCCTATTTAAAAAAATATAGAAATGTTAGTTTTAAACACTGACTTAATTCTAGATCTGCAGCTTAGCATAGTGATTGGTGATTGGGTAGCGTTTGTATTCAATGAAAAAAATTTTTTTTAAATGATTAACTGAGCCTATAGGGTAGGCATGGTAGTGTAGTAGCAAGCACAATCATTGACTTTTGGAGTCAGAAAGATCTATTTCTGAATCTTAGCTGCTTTCTAGGCACGTGGCCTTGGCCAAATGTCAGGCCTTCTTATTCTCAGTTTTCTCATCTAGGCAATGAAAGTATTATTATTTGCCTAAATGGGTTATTCTGCAGATTAAATAAAATAATCATTTCTGGCTCAAATTACTAAGTATTTAATAAATGATATCTTCTGTTAGTATTTTGTTGCATTTAACAAAACATATGTGAATGTAGGATAAAACACTGAAATCCAACAGAATTTCCTCCCTATAGTCGTAATGTTGCCCATAAAAATAAATCCTCACAGCTTAAATTATTGTCCGTATAGGCAGAAATTTCTCAGTAGGTCTTCAATCCTGGCAACAATAAACAAGTAAAATAGAGGGAAAATAAAATTGGGAATTCTGAGGCTATTTTAAAAAAAAATAAGGTCAGTTTTTGAGAACCTTAGAATTTAACGAAATTTTAATCCTAACTAAATTTAAATTCAGCCTTGATAAGAATAAGTCCTTCTAGACTTACTTTGTAAGCATATTCTTACTCATAATTCTTTTTGAAGAGTAGCAGGAAGTCCACATGACTTGTATAAGTGCTTTATCACGAACTAGACTAACTAGGGACTTTTCCGAATGCTTGGGAGGAAAATAGTATTGTTTTCTGTCTCCTCTAAAAGTCTGAACTATTTTTCTTTAGTAATATTTCTTTCTTGTGCCACTAATCTATCAATAATGCAATTAATATTGCATATAAATCTTTTGTATCAAGAATGAGATTTTTTTCAGAGAGAGGTGTAGTGTAGTAAGTAAAAGTATGATCAATGGGGTTAGACTGCTTGAGATAGGATGCCAGTTTGAGGAGGTTATATGACCCCTCTGAGTCTTAATAGTCTCATCTGTAAGGTGGAGCTATTAATACTACCTATGCAGTAAGGGGGTTGTGAGGGCTAAATGAGATGATGCACGTACAGAACCTAGAATGATGCTGTTATCCATTGTTATTCTTGATGAGCTGATCTTTAATAACACTTTTTCTTCAAAGAGTAATCTATGTAAAGTGTACATTTTAGAGTAAAGAAGATATTACAAGTGTTAAGTGCTAAGTGCGGCTCATTTATTTTTCTTTTGTTGGTTGGTTTATGGTTTTGTTTTGTTTTATTTTTTAATATAGTTCAATATGGATCGGGTTAATGTTGAAGAATTCTATGAAGTTTATAAAGGAGTAGTGACCGAATATCATGTAAGTATGAAAGTAAATGTAAAACATTTGTACTGTTAAATAAAAAGTATAGGATTCAGTGTTTTGGACTAAGCTCCTATCTAGGTCCCAAGTGGCCAGACTAAAACAGTGTCATTCATACTAAAATTGTCAACAACCTAAGTTGTTATCTGACCTTCTGAGAAATCAGGAGAGAGCAAGCCAAATTTCCCAAACAGGCTAATTTCATTTGACATAATAATGAAGTTTTCTCTGCCTTTCATCCATATGACAAAAAGTAACCTGAGGTAACCTGATGTTAACCAGTCAGTTATTTCCACATTACTTTCTTCAAACTATATACCTTTCATATCTCCCAAAATTCATTGCAACCAGCCTGCAGCTTCCTAAACTCAATTCTCTTCTTTCTTCTTCCTGCTCTGTGGAGTCAGACACTAGGTTCATATCCTAAATCCTGTAATTATGTGACCATCGATAATTTATTTACCTTCTTTAAACCTTGATTAACCCATTTATAAAATGGGAATAATACTATTACCCACCTTATGAGATTGTTATGAGAATTAAATGAAATAAATTATGTAAAACAGTCTTATATATTAAAAGTACTCAGTAAATATTACCTGCTATTATTGTTGTTTTTATTATTATTTAGTCTGCATAATTCTTTGGTAGTAGATTCCATGTTGATCATTTACACCTATATTTTCTACTTTAACATGTACAGTCATAAAAAGGTGGTAATTCCTATCTCATACTGTTACTGTTATCCACTTATTATATATATTGAGTATCTGCTGTATGCCAAATAATCAGTGATGAACAAAAAACATACTGCCTGCATTTATGGAACTTATGCTCTGGGGAGGATAGACATTAAATCAAATGATCCTACACATAGCTACCTAAGGACAGCAGTCAAAAGGCTGTCAAGGAAACAAAAAGGTTCTTTTTTTGTTTAAAAAATGTGTGACTTAATTAAAAACTAGGGTGACTTAAAAATTCTGAGTCAGTTTTTGAAGGAACATGTTATGCTGTTGACGAAATTCTTTGTTTAACATGTTTTTTTCCTTTCCATTTTATACATTTTGATCAGCCTTGTATGTCTATTTTCAATGGTATCTGTAATCAACACTGAAAGAGAATGAGTGAGAGAGAGAGACATAAAAAGAAAAAGGGGAGGAGGGAGAGAGAGAGAAAAAGAAGAAAGAAAGAAACAAAGGAAAGAAAGGAGGGAGAGGGAAAAGAAGGAAACAAGGAAGGGAGGGAGGAAAGCAGACAAAATTTACTTTTCTGTTTTTGGAAAACTTGTTCATGCCTTCTGCTCCTCCTGAAAATTTGGCTCTTGACATTTATGTGTAGGCAGTACTTCAATATCATGAGGCAGAAAATTAGACTCAATATAATTATCCATAAAAAAATCAATTACATATGACCTTTGTGAAATAGAAAAATGACTTTGGGGGATACACTCAGGAACTCTAATGAGTAGAGTTATGAGTACCATATAAATTATGAAATCCTTTTCCTCCTCTTTTTGCCTCTGTAGTTTATATTAGGTAAGATGACTGCTTTTGGATCACTATTCAAATATATTCTGTAATAGATTTTTTTACTTTGGTGTTGTGTATCATAAACCCTCCAAAGTCATGAAAATGGCTTACATGACCCTACATGGTCTGGCCTCATCTCTTGCTGCTTTCCCGTAGTCTCACTCAGCTCCTAGCCTCTAAGCTGATCTTCACATATCCCTACTGTACTTCTGCCTCAAAGTTTTTATATCTATTTTCACTTCTGCCTGAAGTATTCTTTGCTATTCAAGAGGGTGAAAAAAAAATATTTTTTGAGTGTTCTGGACACTGTGAGAGGCATTTTTCTTTGATCATGTTTTTCATTATACCATTTTATATAGAGAGCTAAGAATCTTAAAACAGTATACTTCTGTTTTTCCCCTGTTATTCTGTGTGCTGTTGTTCTCATACATTTTACATCTATATATGCTACAAACCCAACAATACACTGCTAATATTTTTGCTTTGAACAATTATCTTTGAAAGCAACTAAAAATAGAAAAATTAGCCAGGTGTGGTGGTAAGCACCTGTAGTCCCAGCTACTTTTGAGGCTGAGGCACAAGAATAGCCTGAACCTGGGAGGCTGAGGTTGCGGTGAGCCAAGATTGCGCCACTGTGCTCCAGCTGGGCAACAGAGCAAAACTCAGTCTCAAAAAAAAAAAAAAAAAAAAGAAAGAAAAGAAAAGAAAAAGAAAAAGAAACCAACTAAAAAAAGCATTTTATGTTTATACTTGACATGTTTACTGTTGCTTTGTATAGATTTATATTTTTGTCTGGTATTTTTTCCTTCTGCCTAAAGAACTTCCTTTAATATTTCTTACGCTGAAATGCTTCTGATGGTGAACTGTCTCAGGCCTTTTTTGTCTTAAAACGTCTTCCTTTTTTCTTCATTTTTGAAAAATATTTTCTCACTTGGGTATAGAATACAGATTTACATTTTTTGGTCATCGTTGTTGTCATCCTTATCTTTTTCCCACGGTTATATAATATCCTTCTCCCCCGCGCCCCCCCCCACCGCCGAACCCCCTGGCTGCTTAAAAGGCTTTTTGTTTTTGTTTTTAGCTAATTTTATTGTGATGCATCCTAGTGTACTTCTCTTTGCATTTATTATCCTTGGGTTCTGTTGGATCTATAGGTTTATGGATTTCAGCAAATTTGGAAAGTTTTTAGCACTTATTTTTAAAAATATATTTTATGTTTATCACCTTTTCTTCTCTTCTAATATTCTAATTACACATATAATAGCTTGACATGATTGCACAGCAGGGCTTTTTTCTTCTTCATTTTTCTTTTTCTCTCTGCTTATTTTTGAATAGTTTCTATTGAATGTCTTCAAATTTATTGCTCTTCTGCAATGTCTTATCCTGTTCACCCCATTCAGTGTATTTTTAAATTTAGATGTCTTAGATTATGTCTCTAGAAGTTCTATTTGGATCTTTTAAATATTTTTTATTTTCTCCTCATCATGTTCATATTTCCTTGTATAATTTGAGAATGTGGAACTTATAATAGCTGTTTTAATATCCTTATGTTATTATGTCATTTAATTGCTGGGTCTATTTATTGAGTTTTCTTCTGGTAATTGTTAGTATTTCCCTACATATTTGCCTGCCTGGTAATTTTTTACTGGATGCTGCATATTGTAAAATTTACAGTGTTACATGGTAGATTTGTAAAGAGTGTTCAATTTTGGCCTGGCACTTAGTTAAATCACTTGGAATCAATTTGAAACTTTTCAGTCTTGCTTTTTATCTTTGTAGGATGGGTATAGGGCCTCTTATAATCTAGGGCTAATTTAGGTCAACTACTATGGTGCAGTACCCTTCTGAGGACTCTCCCTGATGCTCCGTGTATCATATAAAAAGGCCTTTCACTCTGACTGGTAGAAACATAAACTCCTCTCAGCCTTGTGCTGTCTCTGAGTTGTCTATTCTTTCCCCAGCCTCAAGTAGTTTCCTCAACACGTGACAGATTAGTAGCCAAAAACTCATGGGAACTGCTCTGCAGATCCTGTAGCTTATTCTCTGCATACTCCCCTCATCTCTCCAGTATTCTTCCCTGAAAATAAGAGCTACATTGGCCACCCCGAAGTCCAATCTTTGTCTTTTCAACTCAGAGAACGTTGGGCTCTGTTATGTTTCCTCTGCCTGGTCTACTGGTCTGGAAACTACCTCAAGACAGTAAGACAGAGCAATTCTACAGCTCACCTCATCTGTTTCCATACTTTCAGGGGTCATAGACCTGTGCTGCCCATCACCCACTGTATGAAAACTATTGTTTCATATATTTTGTCTGGTTTCTAGATGTTTAATATGGGAGAATAAATCTGGTCCTATTATTTTCTTGTTGCTAGAATGCATTATGATTCTTTTTTTAGGATAAAACCTTTGAAATTTATATATATATATATTTAGTAATGTGAATTCAACAACATTGTATTCAAGAAGGCCTTTGCAAGGAAGATATACTAGAAGATCATTCCAAATAATGAAAGTGTTGGATAATAAAACATTACATTAAAATGTGATAGGAATGGAGAAGAGAGAGCATATATAAAAAATATTCTTCAAGGAAAAATGGACAGAATTTGGGAACTGCTTGATGTGTGGGATATAAGTGGGGAAGAAGTCACAGATGACTTTAAGGACATTAGTGGAACAGTGTCACGATTAAAACAAGAGAGTTAAAAATTGTTAAACTTCTTTTCATTCTTTTATATTAAATTTCATAGGACATGGTGACAGAAATGTATTCTGGCCCTTGCGTAGCAATGGAGATTCAACAGAATAATGCTACAAAGACATTTAGAGAATTTTGTGGACCTGCTGATCCTGTAAGTTATTGTTTAAAATATTAGCCTAGTTTGTGTTATCTATTCACTATTTTAACAGGTTTATAATTTTTCGTTTGTTCCTTTAGGTAAATAATATAAACGTGAATATAATATACAAAGTTTTAATTCAAAATGGCACTTTACAAAATTCATTTTTACATAACATTCGAAGAAAGATAATTTTTTTTTTTTTGTTAACTTAGTGACAATATAGAATAGGCAGAAGCATTTACTATGGCATTTTCTTTTTTTCTTTCTTCTTGCTAAATTGTCCAGATAAATATGTTTTGCAAGCTTCATAATAGAAAGTATTTAAGGTATTATATATCCTTTGACATAGGGGGGCCATAAAGAAGGCTCTTATAATACAGTGGCAGCATACCAATACGTAAGTAAATATGGTCAATGGGACTTATATGAAATTTGGTGTTCACTAGTATACCTTTCAATTTGCTTTGGGTTTTCTTCCTAAAGCAAACTACTTTTTCTTGGACATTTGACTGTGTGTGTGTGTGTGTGTGTGTGTGTGTGATAGGTGTGGGGAGGGTGACAAGTAGAAGTAGCATTAGAACACTGTGATAAAGCTCTATGCAAATATTAGAAACTGGATAGGATTGTGGGAAGCATTACTGATTTAAACACTAACCTTAATTTAAATGTACTGTTTCCTGTATTTTGCTATTATTTATAAGTAGTTTATTGAAGATGAGCAGCCAATTCAATTTAATTTTATTCAGGACATTATTTATTTATTTTTAATTTATTTATTTTTTTTCAGACAGAGTCTCACTCTGTTGCCCAGGCTGGAGTGCAGTGGTGCAATCTCGGCTCACTGCAACCTCCACCTTCCAGGCTCTAGTGATTCTTCTGCCTCAGCCTTCTGAGTAGCTGGGACTACAGGTGTGTGCCACCATGCCTGGCTAAGTTTTTGTATTTTTAGTAGAGACGGGGTTTCATCCTGTTGGCCAGGCTGGTCTTGAACTCCTAACCTCAGGTGATCAGCCCGTCTCAGCCTCCCAAAGTGTTGAAATTACTGGCATGAGTTGCCGTGCCCAGCCATTTATTGAACACCCTTAGATGTAAGACAATAAATCCAGAGCATCTATCAAGAAATCATCTTTTGTGAAAGTGCTGCTAGATTAAGCCCAGTAGGGGAGAACAATACTCCTGTTTTCAATGTTCTAAAAGTGTGTGTATATGTATTCACTCAGTAAATGTTCCTTGAATAAATACCTAGAAAAAAAATGGGAATCAGCATTCTTTTTTCTTTTTGGGACTCTTCTTTCTATGATCATGAACCTACTCACTCCCCAGCTCCTCCACAATGACCCTATCCTTTATCATTCCTTGCTCTGTAAGTGATCTAAAAATCTAAAAGATCTTTTAGAACACTTACAGTGCCACATACAAATAAGGATATTGTTATTTTAGTAAAATTCAAATGTTGGATTGTGTAGCAATGAAGCAGTTAATATGACCTGAAAGTAGTTAAGAAAACTTAAAGGAAGAGAGATATAAACAGGTGTTTGAAAGACAAATTAGGGCACAAAGAGAATGGGAAAAGATCTAAAGCATGTATAAAAACACCAGTGAAGGAATTTGCAAACTTACTATGGTGTACAGCAAGAATATTTTCTTGACTTCGGTGGGAAATACATAGCTGGAAGCACAAGGAAATACATTTTCTTAGATAGAGGAAATATGGTAGAGAACTCTGGTAAAGATGGGTATGATTTTAGCCTTAGAAGGCAGGATAAAAATTATAATTCTATTTAAGTTGAATCCCATATCATAGGAAATTGGAATTCCTTGTATGCAGCTTAATTTTGACTATACTGAATTGTTACTTTGATGCAACTAGATCAAACTAAATTGGAAGAGATTAAAGACAGAGGCTCTAGAAATAGAAAGAGACGGACCTGATGACATCAATAGAGAAAGTTGGGAGGACCTCCTTTATATCTTTTTGGGGAGAAGGAATAGATACTTAAATAATACCTGTGGTTGTGATAGAGTAATGATTACAGGGTGACTCTGTTGCAGAGGACATTGAGAGAAATTGGTAATGATGCTGTTTATTGAAAATTAATTATAAGAAATTAGGAAGGGATTGATTTTTGGCTAGATGAGTAAAGGTAACTCAGTTTTTGCCATTTTTGACATTTTAAATTTCTGATTTCTGTTTGATGGGCAAGAGGGTTTTTTGTACTTTTTTTTAAGGTAAGTAAAACTGTGAGTGATCAGCTTGATCTAACAAACAGGAGTAAATTAAAGAGACAAAACTGAAACAAAAAAGGAAAGAAATAAGATGATTCATTCTTTTGTTCTCTCACTTATTCAATAAATATTTATTGAGCCCATGTCAGTATTTGTGAATACAAAGATAGAAGCCCAGGCTGGGCATGGTGGCACACACCTGTAATCCCAGCATTTTGGGAGGGTAAGGCGGGAGGGTTGCTTGAGGCCAGGAGTTGGAGACCAGCCTGGGCAATATAGTGAGACCCTATTGCTATAAAATTACATATATATATGTGTGTGTGTGTGTGTGTGTGTATACACACATAATTATATATATATATATTTTTCTATATTTTTGTTGTATATATTATGTAATAAAGTTGTATATAATATAAGCCTCAAAGATCTTAGCCTGTGAGTAAACAACTGTAAGTGGCTAATTTCCATGCAATATGGCAATTGCATTGTTAGATATTTGCAGGTACTGTGGGAACCCAGAATTATAGCACTTAGCCTGGGAATGTGTGAAACAATGGTTTGAATATGTCCCCCAAAAGTTCATGTGTTGGAAACTTAATGCCCATATGTATATGTTGATGGTATTTGGAAGTGGGGCCTTTGAGAGGTAATAGGATTAGATAAGGTCATCATGGTGAGGCCCCCATGTTGAGACTAGTGGCTTTATGAGAAGAGGAAGAGAGACCTGGGCTGACATGCACACTCTTGCCCTATCGCCATGTGTGATATCATTCATCATGTTATGACACAGTAAGGCCTTCACCAAATGCTAGTGCCATGCTCTCAGGCCTTCCAGCCTCCAGAACTTACAGTTATTTCTTACAGAAATAACTTTTAAAAAATATTTTCAAATGCTTTCACCCAGCAGAAATACATTTATTTTCTCCATAAATTGCTAGTCTCAGATATTGTAGCAAAAGAAAATGGACTAAGATATGTGACAAAGGTCAGGGGAACCATGGCTTCTGAGCTGAATTGTAAGGAATTAGAACTTAGCTTAGTGATGAAGGTGGGAAATGATATGGTTAAAGTTTTGAATGCCTAAAACAGCAACACTTTGGGGCTACAGCAAGCTCTTTATTACTGCTGGAACTAATGTTCAGTGCAAGGAATAACAAAGGATGGGGTCATTGGGGAGGAGCTGGGGAGTGAGCAGGTTCATGATCATACAAAGAAGAGTCTTGAAAAGAAAAAAAAAAGTGCTGATTCCCATTTTTTTTCTAGGTATTTATTCAAGGAACATTTACTGAGTGAATAGTATGTGCAAGGCTCACTCCTAGGTCCTGTTGCTGGGGCATAATAAAGGTGACTAGAACACGTTATATTTCCTTAAGGACCTCGTAACCTCATGGTAGCTCAATCTTGAAACTGTTTCAGGGCCCTGAATCTTGTCTCATTAAGCATGGATGGCATTACTCTATTATGTTTTTTTGGTTCATTTTAGTTGTTTATAAGTTCCTCATAGCATTATAGAAAGTTGCACCGCAGGGATTTTAAAATTTGGGACTGATTTTACATGTAAAATGTTAACAGTGGTTGTCCTTAGGAGGTGGAAATATGATAATATTTCAGTTCTACTTTCCTACATTTTGCAAAATTTCTTTGAAGTCTTATATGACTTTTATAACAAGAAAAATGCTTTTTATCTTGAAACTTGAAAGTTAATGAACTTTTGAATGAGGAGGCATATGCTTATAAGAACTAATTCTCTTGTGTCTCAGACTCCTGAGTTACATTCTGTTTCCAAGTGGAGATCCAGGATGTCAGGCAGGACTGTATGCCTTTGATGGGTGTTTTCAAATCAGAAGAAATACTTTAGTAGTTCCATTCAAACTATGTTTTGAGGACGAAAAAATGTCTCTTTCCCTTTGGTCTCAGAATTTCAAAATCCATTTGATTCCTTTTCTCCATTCTTGTCTTTCCCCCTTTTCTCTCCACTTCACCAACAAATGAATATTGAATGCTTACTCCATGCTGGTAACTGCTAGGTGCTACTAGGTTTATATTAATGATCAAGCCAGTACAGGTTTGTTTTTTGAAGAATGTATGATCTAGCTCTAGGAAGAGATAGAATCAATAATTAAATAGTAATCTTACCTTAAACAGCAGATGTTCCAGTCTATTCATGTATTATATTATCTTAAAATAATTTAGAAATTCATTTCTTCATTGCCTAGTCATTCCCATATCTAAAGAAAGACCCTTGGTGACAAGATGTGCAAATATAATTAGTGCTTGGAAGATGGCCAGGTACCTAATGGCCATACAATAAATGTTTGATGAATTCATGAATAAACTGGCTATATTGTATATATACCTAACATCTGGTACTAACTTATTATTTAAATATTTTTTCTATCAAAATGGGTCCTGCTTCTAACAAATTATTTTCTAAGATATAGAGCTATTTTATAAATTGATTCAAAGGAAAGTTCAGCCTAACAGTGACCATTAAATCAGTTTGTAACTGTATATGTTGCAGATTGACATCATTTCATCATTGATGTCTGTGCTTTTGGCATATTCTTCCCCTTCCTGATCTTATAATAGCTGGAAGGAACACTCATTATGTATTAACAAAATTTCTTTCAGTCCCTCTAGAAGTGGTGGCCAAAGAGGAGAGTGGTGCACAAGACAATTCATTAGGGAGGGGGGAGATATTAGACTTGTAATTTCTATTTACTATCTACAAAGTAAAATGAGATTAAGTTTTAATAAAATATAATGTGTGGACTGATAAGACTGCATTTCTATAATTTATTTAAAATATCTGCTTAAAGCCCTGCAGTGGCTCCCTATTACCTTCCATAGAAAGGCTTTGAAAGTCCTCCATGAAACAGCCATTCCTACTTCTAGCCTCATTTCTTGCTGCATTTTGTGCCTTTCCTCTGTCCTCTGCATTTGCACTTTACCCTCCACTAATATGGAGGAGGGTGAAACTGGGCCGGGCAGGGTGGTTCCACCTGTAATCCCAGCACTTTGGAAGGCCGAGGCAGGTGATTCACTTGAGGTCAGGAGTTCGAGATTAGCCTGGCCAACATGGCGAAACCCCATCTCTGCTAAAAATATAAAAATTAGCCAGGCATGGTGGCGGGTGCCTGTAATCCTAGCTACTCAGGAGGCAAACGCAGGAGAATCGCTTGAACCCGGGAAGTGGAGGTTGCAGTGAGCTGAGATTGCACCACTGCACTCCAGCTTGGGTGAGAAAGTTATTCTGTCTGTCTAAAAAAAAGAAAATTATACATATGTATATCAAACTGTTTATTCTTTCTTAATAAACCAGTGTCTTTCTTCACTCTTTCCTCTGTTTCTGTGTCCTCTTATTATCTTATTGACAGAGATACTTCCCCTCTCTCTCAGCTATTGAAACTTTGCCCAAGCATCTGGGAATTCAATATTGGCCCCACCACCCTCAGATAGAATGGCTACTTCCTCTTTTGTGGCCTCATTTTACCCTATATATACTATGTTTATATCACCTGTTAAATTTTACTGTATTTATTTACTATCTGTCTACTCCCTAAAATTGTGGCCTAAGATAATGTTTTATTCATCTTAGTATTTCTAGCATGTAGCAGAGTACGTAGAATGTGGAAAGCACTTGATAAATAGTTTATGGTGGAACAAATGAATGGAAGAATATGTCTAGAGTCATGTACTGGACAAATGAATGGATTTTTTGAAACAGAATATGGTCCTATTAAAAAACAAAAAAAGAGTCCAGGATTTCCCCCAGACTTTTGAATTTGCCTTGTTTTCACCACTCATATTGTAGTATGGCATGCTATGTAAAATATTACAGATCTGTTAAATATATGTGTATAAATGTGTATATATGTGTATATATGTATATATTCATATGTCTGTATTCATATATACAGATATATGAATATCCAAAATCTATTAAACAGGAAATCTAAGAAGAGGAGAGCATCCACACCTGAGAACAGCTTAGCGTAAGATGAGCATGGTTCAGACTTGGAAAGAGAACCTGGTATAGGGTTTTAGAGCCGAGGTGGGGTAAGCATGGTTTCCCTGTAGAAGAAATGGCCTGGCATAGGGTGCCTGATCCTATGCACAGAGAGGAGTGCCTGTGATCCTGGGGAGCAGCCTGGCATGGGGAGTCAGAACCTGAGTGAGGTGAAGAGAGAATTCACATGTGGAGGCAGCCCAGTGCCAGATGGGCATTGATACAGAAGGGAGATCTGGCCTGGTGTGTCAGAGCCTGATTGGCATGACCAAGGCATCCGGGTGAGAGGCATCGTCTGGGTGCCTGCGTGAGATGAGAAGAGCATCTTCATGGGGAATAGGTGATGACAGATGTGGAAGATTGGTTATATGTGGTAGAATTGATCAAATAACTAAATAAATTAAAGACAGTAGGAACCATATTTCTCTCAGAGGAGAGATATACAAATACAGAAAATGAGAAAACTGCAATGAACTTTGTGTTCGAATTGGAATTGGAGATATGATATGAAGTCATGGCTTTCAATATACACAGATTAAATGTAGAAATAAAAGATATAAATGTGTGTATATGTATACCCTAACTATGCCCCCTAACAGCAGGAAGCAGCCAGACAGACAACAGCACCCCAAATTCTTATAATCAATAAGAGGTTGGACTGTTTGGGTGAGGGAGAAGGGACAAGATGGAGGAAGGTGAACAAGGAGGCACAATCCATGTTGCTTCCGGGTTCTTCCTCACCAACTTTCCCGCGCGCGGGAAAATGCAGATCAACCGAGCATGCGCCAGGTGATGTCAATCCGAAGAGATCGAAACTTACCCGGCCACGCCTACGGAGATGCCCTTATCCCGCCCACTGCCCTCCCCCTTCCAGTACCAATGCATAAAAGTCCCCCGCTGGCAGAAGCCGGCGTGACTTCTTCGGCCCCCGCATTTGTGGACCGGAGAACATCACCCGAGAGCGCTGGCGCGACTTCCCTGGCCCCCCACACCTGAGGACCAGAGAACCTCGCCCAAGAGTGTGTGCATATTTGCAATAAAAGACTGCCACTTTCTTATGTACTTTGGCCTCATGTTTAATTACTTAGCTCTCCTAAATTAGGTTACATTAAATTAAATTAAACAAAACACTAGTATTTAGCAACCTTGAAAAAATGAATCAGTCACTTTTTTTTTGTTTCATTTTGACATTAGCACCTGTCACTTCTCTTTACAACAAAATAAACAATAATAGAAGCAGGAAGCAAAGAAATTCTAGGCAGACAGGGGTGAGTCCCTGGTGAAGCCCCACCTTCAAGCCAAAAAGTCTGAAACCCATGGCCCAAAGTGAGAACTTCTATCCCTGTTTGCTTGGTCTTTCCTGATTGGTTATTTCTGAATAATGTCTTTTTACTAATTGCATGTCGCCTTTTTCAAAACTACCTATGGCTTACCCTGCCCCCCATCCTGTGCCTATAAAGATCCCAGACTCAGCCAGTAGAAAGGAGAAGCAGCTGATGTCTAGAAGAGGTGAGTTGACCTCAGAGATGATGGCTGGATGTCAGAAAGAGGCAACTTGACTTCAAGGAGAGAGGGAGAGAGGCACCCTGACTTCAGGTGAGAGACCTACCCTTCCCTTCCCCTCCAGCTGTCCTCTCCACTGAGAGCCACTTTCATTACTCAATGAAATTCTCTGCATTCACTATCCTTCAATTTATTTATGTGACCTCATTCTTCTTGGGCACCAGACAAGAATTTGGGGCCTACCAAGTGTGAATACCCAAAAAGGCTGTCACACTGGCCCTTTGCCCTCACTAGCGGAGGGCAGCTACCCCACACAAGGCAAAGGACCCACTGAGCTGGTAACACACTGCTCTCCACAGGTGGTGGAGCTAAGAGAGCATTGTAACGCGCCCTCTGGGGTCTTGGCGTCACAAGCACCCCCACTTGGATGCTGCCACAGGGCCTGCATGGAGTTTGCTTCTGCTGGTGCCAAAGTGGCTGACTGGTTCCTGCATTTGCTCACCTATGCATGCCCTCCCACAAGGCGTTGAGCATGGCAGGCTGAGTAAATGGGGCACCCCTGTCATGGGTCCCATGAAGGGATCAATAAAATGTCCTGCATTATCAATACCTTTGTTTCTTGACATGGTCCTGGAGAAAGTTACAAAGCCTTTTTCTTTTCTCCTTCCTCTCTTTTTAAATAAAATTATTCTAAGAAGCAAATTATACCAGATGTTTAGTGTCTTCTAGTCAGAAAATCTTTGATGTTCTTATGAGAATTTAACTTGGACCTATTATCATTTTTTGAAACAGCAAAAATTCAAACAGAAGCCTTCATGGTTTTGAAATCAATAAAGGAACCCAGGGGACTCAGAAGAGCCACACGGGTTCTGTAGTCATGTTTCAAACAAGACTGTTCCCTTCTTCTTCAGCAGTCTCAGAGAGCAGGTTAGGAAAGGAAAGACCAGTCTTTTCAAAGGGGCTAACAGTGGAGATCAATATTGAGACTTTTTTCTAGGATGTCTACTCATATAATTTTAATGCATGATATAAGCTCCCTTTTCAAACCACTTGCTTCTAACGTGTCTTCCTAAGTTTTACCTTGAAGAGCACTTGCTAATTGAAATATTTATATTTGGTTTGTCCCCTAAACTACAAAGCCTGAAGAGGACTAAAGTTTTCCTTTCTCATAATTCACTTTTGAAATTCTGAGATCAGTAAAATTAACTGTATAGATCTTCAAAAGATATGCTTGTACATACTAGAAAGCTTACTGCTGTGGACATCTGTGTGCTCATTACCACCAATCAATATGTATTACAAAGAGAATGAATGTATAGCACTGGCTAATCTGGAGCATCTATTAACTGGAAATTAGCTCAACAAGCTTACACTATGTGTGTGTATGTGTATATATATAATTTTTATTTTTTTTTCCTAAGATTATTGTTTTTATGAGAAAGCTCAACTGCTGTCTGATCAGGATGGGTCTCTTTTGGCCAGAGCTAAACACTGACCCAAATCTCTTTGGACACTCAACCAGCTAAAGACCAGGAAAATTCCTTCAGTTCTTGTTCTCTTACTTCCTTTAGCATTTGGCATGTTTAAAGATTAGTTGGTTATAATTCTGTACTTGAGAAGACAAAAAAGAGAAAAAATTAATGGGGAGTGATGCACAGGAAAGATGCCTATTTCATATATGTTCATATATGTTCAGCCTTATTGATAGGGAAATGCATATTAACGGAGAATAATACAACTTTTCAAACCAGTGAGCTTGGTAAAATTTTAAAAAATAGACAAAATCCAGCATTGGCAACCATGTGGTGGAAGAGGTACTCTATCTAGGTTGTAGTACTATGGGTGAGATTTTTTTTAGTCCTGTACAGTTAATTCTCATTACTTATAGTAGTTATATTCTGTAAAGTTACCATGAACACTGACTTGGTGAATACTGAACTGTAGTTCCTAGAAGAAATACAGGGTTAGGTTTCTGTGAGCCTGTGGTCACAACATATATATTAATGATCAATATATAACCTTATTTTGTGTGTGTTTCTGTTTAAGGACACCGTACTTAATACATATTGTTGATCTAGTAACATTGAACTCATGGCCAGCATCACTGTAACTCCTACCTGAGTGATGCCTACATTACGTATATATTTTCTTTATAAGGCACGTCACAGCATTGTGATACTTAGGACTCTTGACAGCTCTTCGGCACTATGCTCGGGGACTGTTTTAAATAGTAAAATCACCAACAGAAAATACAAAAATGCAAAAAATGTAACACCAAGTACACTGCAAAAAGGATACCTGTAGCCAGGTATAGTGGCTCACACCTATAATCCCAGCAACTTGGGAGGATGAGGTGGGAGGATCACTTGAGGCCAGGAGTTTGAGACCAACTTGTGCAACATAGTGAGACCCTGTCTCCAAAAATATTTAAAATGAAAACAAAGACAAAAAAACCTTAGCTGGGCATGGTGGCCTGTGCTGTAGTCCTAGCTACTCCGTACTCAAGAGGCTCAGATGGAAGAATCACTTGAGCCCAAGACTTAAAGTCTGCAGTGAGCCATGATGGTGCCACTACACTCCAGCTAGGGCAACAAAGCAAGACACTGACTTTAAAAAAAAAAAAAAAAAGACATTTGTTTTAAATTGTGAAGTGTGAGAGTTAAAATAAGAAGGCAGAGAGTGTCACCTTGTTCACCCTCATTTGGGAACTTGTACTCATTTGAGTGACTCAAATTTTTGCTGCTCTGTACATGTCTACCAACGGACATACCTGTGCTATTAATATTGATTTTGGGGTTACAAATAAATTTCAGTGAGTAGGTAAGTTCACAAACATGGAATTCACAAACAGTGGGGATTGACTATATTTTCAATGTTTTTTAACAATGAATTTAAATTACTTTAAAAAGGTATTTAAAAGCAATTTATTAAATAATTTAAGTAAATTTATTAAATAAAACAAATTAAGTAAATAGCAGTTAATTTTTAAAATAAATATTTTCATTTAATAAAATATTCTGGCTAAAGAAAAGAATTTCTCTTGAAGAGGAGATGACTGAAAGGGGTTTAATACAATTAGTACGAATTACGTACTGGAAAATACTTAGATTTCAGAATAACTGTGTGTCTTGGACTTCTTTTGCTTTGGTGTTAAATAATGCTCAATCCCCAAATTTGTTGAAAATAATTACTCTCTTTGTGAATATAAAAAGAAGAAACATTACAACCTAATAAGAGAGTAACAAATAGCAGTTGACATTAAACTACTGAATAAAACAATATTGTATCATATTTTTCTATGAAAATTAAAATTTTATTCAAATATAATAGTATTGAATCAACAGCAATCTTTTCCTGAAAAAGCAGAAGATGTAATTCAAATTTACAAGTCAGAGGTTTGGAATTTTACATATCCTTTTCTTGTAATGTGTGGATTTTTAACTAAATTTTTTAAATGAAGATTTTTCTCTCTTTTGGTTGTTCCTGCCATTAAGTATCATAACTGGGATTCAAATCTTGACATTGTTGCTCTCAACTTCATGCCTTTAACCATTATATCATATTGTTTTATTACATGTTCATGACCCTATCACAATATTGCCAGGACATAAAACATGTGCAAATCTAATGACTTTTGAAAATTGAATAGAAAAGTATTCTCTGTTAAGTTTTAAAAGTAGAGATTGCATAATATTTTTTCTAGGTGATTTAGCTGTAAGCTGATCCAAAAGCAACAAGATAGATGACAGTTTTTTGCCTTATATTGCCTATATCATGATTTACTTATATTATGGATAGAAAGTCAAAATCCAGGAAAACATTAACTGATTGGATTAAAGGCAAAAGGAACTTGATACTATCGCAACCTCCTAGGTATGACATACTGTATATATAGGAACAAAATAATGTTTTCCCCTGTAAAATCATTGAAACAGCATTAACAGATACATGTAAGTAGTGCTGTGGTAAATTATTTTACAAAAATGTTTATTATGTTTCCAGATTTATTTTAAACATTACTTCATCATATAGTTCACCAAATATGGTAATTGTATCCTCTCATACAGTCTTCCAAGCAAACCATTATGCTTTGATAAACTGGAATTTTAAAAAGAAAGGGAAAACATGAGATGATCTGGAGCTGAAACTGGAGCTTGCAAAAGGAAAATTAAAAAATAAAAAAGAACTTATGATCTATTTGAGGGATTCAGTAGACTAGGGTAGGAATAAGATAGTCCTGTGACCTGGAGTAGACCTAAAAGTCTTACTTAGTGTGGTCTGCAAACAAAGGGGAAGGAAGCCCCAATGAGGCCAGGAGAACGAAGCAGAAACAGGAGAGAATGTTTGGGGCAGGGTAGCTGATAATTTTCAGTTTGTGATTCTCTAGAGGTATTATATTGCCCCTGATTACAGAACCTCCTCCCCATCTCCTGCTTTCTTTTTTCCCTATTTTACTTGTGATTATGACATAACTGGCAAATTTGTAGTAACTCTCATTTTGTAGTAACCTATTGTTCTTGTTTTGGCACATTGCATTTAGAGTGTACTCCTTTATACTGATGGAGGGGGTGTGTGTGTGTGTGTGTGTGTGTGTGTGTGTGTGTGTGTATTTAAATATTAAGAATGATCTGTTCTAGAATGTCTGAAACTACCACAGAGGGACTATCTAAACAACAAACTTAGAACATAGTTTTTAGATGAATACCAATGTTTCAAACCCCACGGGGCAGCAACACATCTGATACAGAATTATTTTGTCGCAGTAGTGTTTACTATTACCTCACTTAGGAACCAAGCATTGGGATACTCTCTAGGTTCTAGGTTGGCACATGCATTTCTGGAATGGAGACTTCAGTCTCAAACAAAAATTAGAATAATATCAACAATACTTTCATATATTCAGGCATATCTTCTAGTGTAGTGGAGAATATAGAAAAGTCTTAGGAATAAAACTCTCAGAGATTCCTTATGGTATACAGACTTGGGTAAACTAGAAATAAATTTCACTTTAAGGGATTTTTGCCCTTTTACCTCCATTTTTGTTAGATTGGGATTTACTCTGTTTTACTTTACTAAAATTATTAAATACCCTGTGGGTGTTGGGTATTCAGGACTGAGCATGATAGACATTGGCTCTGCCCACATGGAATTTATAGTCTACTGAGGAATATTGTTATTAAACAAATGATTACATAGTTGTATATATTACAACTATGCTAAGTCTTTTAGAAGAATCTGATAATTGTGCAAGAAAATATATTAATAGCAGGAAGCTGTAGCTTAGTTGAAGTACAGGAATTCCTGAAAGATTTTCATTTATTCTGAAACCTGTAGAGGCCTTAAATCTAGGGAGAACATAGCATATTCTAGGAATTCAAAGAAGTCTAGTTTGGCTCTAGCCTACAATGCAAAGAGGAAAGTAGCCTACAAGGTAACTAAAGAGATTGTTTAGGCCAGAGTATGAAGGCCACATTAACCAGCTTATATTTACTCTAAGTGCAACAGGAAACCCCATGGAAAATTTGAGAGAGGATTAATGACATCTAATTTGTATTTTTAAAAAGCTCTCTGGCTATGGTGTGGAAAATTTGTTGAAAGAAAATAAAGGAAATCGGATTAGAAATAAGGGGACCTTGGGCTTGAATGGTAACCATGGAAGATTTTGAAACATATTTTGGAAGGCGAACTGGAAGAACTTGGTAATTTGGACATGGCCCAAGGAAGCAGATAGTTTATTTACTATAGATGAAGAAATTCTTGATAGAAATGTCTGTTTTATTTTGGAATATATACAGAAACAGTAATTAAAACACCAAAGCCTTTATTCATTGTTTAAATGTTTTTTCTGGAGCTTGTCCAGAGATTTAAATATTACGTACATATAAATAGCTTTTACTCTCAAAAGCAGGAGGTAGAAATAGCAAAAATGCATATAATCTTGAATTTAAACTATTTTAACTTTGGCATCTGTCAGGTTTTAGTAAATTTGCAACCCCCTGGTCTTTGATGAAAAAGGTCTTGAGTATGTCTGGTTTTTTTCTTAAAGTAGTGGTGTGGCAATAATTAGGTCTTATGCTTCTCCTTCAGTGTTAATTTCAGTTTTGTAGATTTTTTAAAAAACTCAAGTTTTGTAAAAACAAAAAATGCTATATTTCACTCTGCTATAACCAGCAGATGTTGCTTTTTTATTAGTTCTGCTGTGGAGATTCACGTGTGGGTGGAATTAATTGACGAAAATCTAAAAACAGGTGGACTGTGGAAACATATTCTTTATAAAGTTACAGGATCTAAATCCAACCAATATATATTTTTTCCAAACCTGTAAATATATGGATCTTTGTATTACTTTATTATTACCCGTAAATTTGATCTAAGTAATTAAAGGTACATTTAGAGACTATTTGGGATTATTTCCAGTTTTGGCCTTTAAGCCTTCCTACTAATTAACATAATTTACTGCTACGAATTGCGACACTTGCTGAGATGTTACACTTAACACTACACAGAATGCAAATAAAATGGCTGCTTGAATTATTAACACCATAATTTCTACTTTCAGAGCTACAGAAATGATTAGAATAGAAATATACCTTCCTTTTCTTCAGTAAAGTTTTACTATTATTTAGGTTTAAATATAACTATGTATGTAGATTTCCATTGGGGAGTTAACTGATAACAGCCATTTTTTCTTTGTTATCCTTTTCACTGTTAAACTTACTTCAAAGGGCTTCTAAAGGTTCCTGTCATGTTGCAGAGATAATATACACAGTAAAGTTGGCCTGAAGCATTTTTGTCTTTGATTTATTCATTTATTCAGTCAGCCAACCCACCAACCATCAACCAACCAAACATTTACAAACTTTCAAAGTGCATGAAGTATTAATAGTTCTTAGTACTAGCAATGAAAACATGAACAAGACACCTTTGCTGAGCCAGAGAAATTTATGTCCTAGCTGAAGAATAGAATTGTAGTCAATAATTGCAATAAAGTCTTATAATTGTAATGATAGACATATATATTAAATGGAAAAAGTTTGATCAAATAAGATTGAGAAATACTGGGTTAAATGAAGGTAAGCAGATTTGTGTACTACAAGACTCTAGAACATTTCAAATGCTGACATGCATTGTGAATCTCCAAAAGAGGGCATCTGGTATGAAGTATTTTCCAATTTTGTTGCCAAAAGTTACAGAGGACAACCAGGATAAGGAGAAATTCCTGATCATAATTCCTGCTAAGCTGCTTTCAGGGACCTTGAAGAGAACATAAAGAACTTTGAAACATAGCTTTTACTTTTCAGGGAAGAGAAAAAGATAAACAAGACTACATAAATCTAGCCTTCATTATTTTGTTTTCTTTATTTCCAGTC